AGAGTTCAATCATCAAACTTTTTTTGTTCATAACTTTTTTATAAACAATGAGCGACGGATAAAACCTTCATATTATTATTCAGAGAGGTGACCTTGATAACATATGTCAAAATTGTTGAGATCGGAAAATAGTCCGTATAACTGCATAATTACCTAATTTCTCTCTACTGACCTTTTCCGTTGCGGCATCATCGATACCAATTTTTCACGCTCGGAAATCCGACACCTTTTCGTCTTATTGGCGAGAATCCTGCGTATTTCCCGCGACGTCGTTGTGACTCTTCATATTCGATAATTTGATCCGTCTTACTTGATCCGAGATTTGCGGTTGTTTGCGAGTGTTTTGCGCGGTGCGATCAATCCCTTCACGAGAATTATCGTGGACGTGGCGTGACGTTGAGGATCGTGCCGTTTTCGAGAAGCGGAAGCGATACCCCCCCGTCCTTGACCTTCTTCCCAATTTGCCTCCGTTTAATTCTTCGCTTTTACGACTCTTCCGATTTTGTCAAGTCCACTCGTTTCCTGAAACTAACACGTAGCGTCCTCTGGTTTATCTTTCCTTTGAAAGTATAGCTATTTTGTAGAGAACCTTTATGTAAGTTACTATGCACGTGAGGTTGCACTATATCGCGTATATTGCGAGGCCGTTGGGTTTAGCGTGGAGTTTACATCGAGATTAGAATTTAAAGCGATTCAAGTGAGATTTCTCTTTTTAAGAAAACGACGCTTTCTCGCGACATTTTCTACAATTTTACTGCGTGTATGTTGAACTATTTTGTCGGTTGCAAAGTTTTTATCTCTTTTTGTATAAAAAATTTTTTACGACTTCTCACACATTAAATAATACAATACAATTACAAGTACAAGTATAATACATATTATAAGTACAAGTATAATTCATAAATACGATTTGTAATTAATTAACAATTGCGGCTTCTCTACGGTATAATATAACGCGTTCTGTCCGCCGATACGTACTTCCGTATCTCGCGAAAGCTCGCGCGAATAAAAAAAAACCAAAAAAGAAGAAGCGAAGAGAATGGAGTTATTCCCGCATGTGCATAAGAGGGTAACGAGTTTATGGATGATCGCGCGCGATATCCTCATTGATAAGGGTCACTCGTTTGCGAACAAAAAAAAGACGATTGTCTCTGCGCGGAGTCGATATGGAGGAACGAACCATCGCGCTCGTTTAAGTCCGCTCCGTGCATCAGCCGTTATCTCACATTTGCAATTCGGATGAACCGGAACGTGTCGTTTAATGCACGCGCGTCCGACGACGACGACGACGATGATCAACATCTGCATCTTGGGTTTTAATGCTATCGAGATCAACCGGGAGCAATTTACCGGACGACCGTCCACGTGATGATTCTCGTGACGCGGCGAGACATTTAATTAATTTCAAGGTGTCAAGAATGTGCTCGGCGAGCCCAGCACGCGCGCTCACGGCGTCTCCTCCTCGGAATTTTCTCACGCTCAAAATGCAGTCCATTTCCATCGCAGACACCGCTCCCCTTTGATAGATCGCCGATGTTTTTAATCCTTTTAATTAAACATTCACTTTGAGCACTTTAATTGCCTGCGATGCGCGCAATAATTCCGTAGAGAGTTTCGTTCGGAATTTATCGGATATTTTTCAATCTGTTTTTGTCATTGAAAAGAATATATATATATATATATATATATATATCTTGTTAAAAAAAAAAAAAAATATAATAAAAATAAAAGGTTGCGCGTAAACACATGCTTGTGAAAATTTTGTGACGCGAGTGAACGTAAACAGAAACGGGAAATTGTCGCAATTCTCTTTGAGAGATAATTACTCCAAATTAAGCGTATCAATAATATTACCGTGATGCAGATTCTGTTTCCCGCGCAATTCGGTATTCAACTGATTTGTGTCCCAGTTCTGAGCTTTGCAGCGATTATTGATATGTTTATACGTGTCAAGGGAATGTAATTTAATGGGAACACAAGCGCGAGGATTTTCCATATTGGAAATACAAATAACGCGCGATCGTTTTTCGCGAGACTCTCACTTTTTCTCCGAGGCAGAGAGATCAAATATATTTATCGAACAAAAATAATAATATTATCGAACCGCAAAAAAGTATGCCAGTCTGGCTTCCTATCGCGTTTCTTTGAAACGCAATTCACGAACTAGTACTTGTCACTTGTTTCAAGAACCAAGTTATTATCGGTATGATTGATAATGTGATATCGAAACGACTTCTCAATTCTTGTCCTACTTTTATATAAAGTATATACAAATAATGGAAAAAAGTCAGTGTGATGTAAGACTTTTTCTAGTTTGCAAACTCAGTCACGCAAAACTATCGAAATCGTATCATGGTCTCGTGCAGAATAAATTGAGATGAAATTGTTCCCGATATTGCTCGTAGAACTATATTCAAAGTCGTTCAAAGAATTTTATGTTGTTCAAAGGATGTTACATACACGTATAAACGTGTTTTAATATTTTTAAAATCTTATATACATATGTATAAACTATTTTTCTTAAAGAAAAGAATGTATTTGTCTCATAGCACACGATTAACTCTGCAACGTGAAACTTTCTAACATTTCGACGAGAGTTGATCTCGAGAGAAGAGCACGCGAACTGAATTTCTGATCTCGAAACAAAAAAAAAAACAAAAAAACAAAAAATTGGAACTTAGTATCCAAGTTCTTGCTAAAGTTGTTTGCCGCCGTGATAGTTTTGAGCCGTTGCCCGCGAGGTTGACCTACAACCCGCAAATGGTGTCTTTCTGCGATGTTTCCGGTTCGTTTCCATTTGTGATTTCGATTTGGGTATTCGTGCCAACGCGCGGATCGCATTGTGTCACGTTTATATAAATCTGTTCAAGCTATCCGAGAGACAAACAGGTATATAATCCGTCGTAACTGTTACCGAACGCCGGATCGAGCTCTTCCTACGTTCTATCGGACCGATAAATGATGA